ATCAATCGACGATTCCGCACAGAATATTATAAGTATTATCTCACCTATTTCATCATCCAAATTTACTCATGAGGCATATTTAACTGTTTATAATTGGACTTTAAGCATATGATGAAGCAGAAATTGCCAACAGAGACCCAAATTATCATATTCTGATTTATGGGGTCGTTCTTTATATCACACTTGAGATAGCACCGCAGACTGCGGATGCAACCAATAATGGCTTTTAAAAGCATTTAAAAGTTTTTTGTGATGATTTGTCATTTATCCAATTGACATTCACATATAGTATTTCATTGCCAGGGTGATTTTGAATATGTTTTATTATCCAGTCATTTTTTGCTCACACGATGAGCCTCTGGAAACCACTTTTTTTTATCAAAAATAGATTTTACACCTACCTACCATGACTTGAATATTAAGGCCATTAAGAAGGGGAACACATTAATGAAAATGAAAATGAAGTGTAACAAGATTAATTTTAAAAAATGTTATTTTGATTGATCTTTGTGGTTAGATGTCACAGTATGGTTTTATTACTCGAACTCAAAAGTACACAAAGCTGTATATATTGAGAGATTTTGGACAAATGGGAACTTCCATTTGTCTTAACTAATGCTCATCTCCATGTTAAGGGGCTCACATTTTATCATTAACATATCATATTTCATAAGAGATGACACTATATCATTCAAAGTGTTTCCAGATCATATAATAAATATTGCAACTGATGATGTTGAAAAATATCAGTGTCAAATTCCCAGGTTTTATCATTTTTGCTGGTATCTGGCATTTTTGCTAAATTAAGTCCTATCTCAGGGTGACGTAACCAAATATTTTCCAAATTATGACATTTTCCTTTTCACCAAATGGGCCAACTCATTGGTACCATTTTCAAAATCCTACTACTGACATTTAACAACCACATTCTATAATGAAGTTATGATTAATTTAGATGATTGAACATTTGATAAAGGCTAAGACCTAGCGCTTTATCCTTCCAAAACTATATACATCTACAGTGTATTGTGTAAAAATAATGGTTTTGAGCCTATGTAATTTTGTAGTTTATTCTGAAACATTGTTCCTAAGAAATATTATTGTAAGGATCAGAACAATAAAGGGGCTCTTTATGAGTGTTCTATATTTGTATATTTGTATAATTATGGAAGGAATTTTTATTTGTTTTTTTTTCTATTGGATTGATCAATGATGAATTATCTAATTGCTGCATATTAAACTATAACTGCTGAAACTTGATATGAAATGAAAGGTATGTAATATGAATTATTTAGTTGTAAAAATTGCATTCTGATTGTTGATTGCTATTGATCTTGTCGGGGGTGTTGATCTTTTCCCAGAAGGTTGATCCTTTTTAATGTCGTAAATGTCAAATCCTACATAAGTAGTCCTATTCGAGATATTAAACTCTAGAAAAACAATGCAATTGTTCTTCTTGCTCTAAAATGTGTGCATCGTGTAGATATATTAATATTATATACTGTACAATTTTCAAACAAATCAACAGTTTGGCCAATGGATCAGGTCCTACCTCAAGTTTGGTATTTACATACTGCTATCTTGCATGGATGATTTTATTTTGGCCGAAATCTGTAAAAGACAGAAAGACATTCTTTAACTGATACCATAAATTGCTAAATTGATCTTAATAATATGAGTTCTCACTCAACAGTTCAATTCGAAATATAATCATTCTTCATTAAAAGCTATCACATTTGGTGGTCTGAAAAAGAGGAAATTACTTTCGAAAGAAAATAAGATGAAAGAATGATCATAAAAGGGTGCAAGGGCTACACCTTACGTACTTGATGAAGACCTTTGGGAGACAATTGGATACACAGCCAATCTCCAAGAGTACCATATGATACTGTTCTGGCTACGATATGATACGGTATCGTGATTTCAGAGTGCGGATTGAGGGTATATAGCATTCTGATACTCATAGCATCTCTCTCTGTTGCATCCAGAAGGATAGAGATAGAGATGATGTGGCTTACCATGATGGGTATATAGTTGATTTGGCTGTTTGATTGAGGCATCACATGGAGTCACCTCAACCAACCAACCAACCAACCAACCAACCAGGCGACTTGTCAGAGTTGAAAGATCCTACATTATGAACAAATGGAGAAATGTTTTTGAATAATTATATTTGAAGTAATAATGCTAATGATGTCATAATGGAGTGTATCATAACAATATCTTGGCTTCATTTTTGTCATAATAAACATTGATTACATTCAAATAACAATAACACCCTTTAAGCGAATTATATCTTATTTCTAATGATAGCTTTGAATTTAGATCCTGCAATATCCGGATTGCAATATTTATACCTTCCAGCAATGTCTTCCAAGTAAATCAATGCCGACTTTTTCAAAGGTTTGTCGCAAGTGCAAGTCTGTTGACTTGTGAATTTTACGGTGCAGCATATACCATGTGACGACTGAATATTACTGCCTACTAGATGATGATTTCTGTTATTATTGGAAAATAATGTGACGAATAATCTTCAGAGTATTTACACTTTAGTTGAAGATGATGTTCCTCACTTAGATTTGCTCACAACTCTTCCCTTTCACTCAAATAGAGATCATTAAACTTTCAAAAAATATGGTTCACCATTAAACTGTTGAACATCCTGGTGTAATCCTTAATTTAATTTTGAAATCCGGGTTTGAAATATGGTAATTTTTCACCAAAAGGTGCCAAAAAGAATTGCTTACATAAGCTGAAGAATGTCTGTATTTTCCATGTGAAAACAACATTCATTCTTTTACAGTTTATAGGACTAGTTGTCCTTCAAAATAAGGAAAATGTCGAAATTCATTATTTTTTATTTAGTGTAAAGACCATGAACTATAAGACATTGAGTTGATAAAAAGAATTTATGAACATTATTCAGCTTTGTATTATTGTTTCTATAAATGAAATAAATTCATGATTTTATCCAAAGTTGTTCAAACAAATAACTTGAGGATGAGACACATGCTTTGCTTTACAGATTGTATTATTACAACAAGTTGATATGTGTCACAAAAACATGTTTCCCCTGAAGCTTATTTGATCCTTTTTCTTAAAGGTTAAATCTAATGACTTGCTAGGTGGATCAATTCGCTTTAGTTTATTGCCCAATATATTATATGAGAATATATCCATTGTAGTAGATCAGCACCTTGTATCAAATTCTATCTTCTGAGTTGATCATAAAATGTAACAATATTATAGAAAGTTTGATCGATTATGGCACAGTTGGGGTGTAAAGTAATGTCTAAATAATGAGATTGCTTGAGATTGCTTCTTGTCTATGATTGTTTTTTCATCTCTGGAGTAAATTTTGGAACATTACATTTCCATATTTGGGCATTAAATCAATATGTTGATAAGCTCACTCTGTCATGGCTGTTGATGTATTATTCAATCAATTTTGCACACGTGAACAAGGGTGAAGTGGGATAATTTAGAACAGTGAACGAGAAGGATGTTTCGTGCTAACAGTGTTGATAATTCAAAACATGTTGGTCAAAATTGAATAGACTAGATCACTAGATGAGAGTAGAAATAATCTTGATTTACATCATTAAATATTCAAAATTCAAAGTGATGTCATATTTGAAATCTACATGTAAAAGTACATCTAGAAGTATGGTTTCGAAATATCTTTTCTTGTATTGGACAGATAATATTTTCTTTTCCTGGACATATTTTAATTTGCATTAGATATTAGATACATAAGGGTGATATGAAATTTGAACCACTAAAACTAATAAATATTTAAGTTAAAGGGAACTTTCTACAATACCTGCCATGCTATCTGACCCGAATGAGCCACCTGGTGGTGAAACTGGAAACTATCTACTCGCATCTGAGTTATTGTTTATCACCATCCTGGACATACTTTACTACTAATACTAATATACTTGAATCAGTAATTGGTCGCATACTTGACCCAGTGTCTATAATACATGCAGTGAATACGTGTAGCCGCAAGGAACATGAAGGATCAGGAAATTGGCACAACTTGAAACTAATGAAAGTTGTTTTATTTAATATATAGCCCTTATCATACAACAAGTCATGTTTTAGCAACATTAGAATAAAAGCCATGGGGTCTACTTTCATCCCATTCATATATAATGGTTACATTATACATCTCAGATGACACAAATTTTCCCATTTTGCTCAGCAATTTGGGAGTACTAAAATAGTTCCTCTCTAATAATCTGCAACAAAGTCTCTCACTTAATCTTAATCTTCATAATAAGTTACATCTAATCTTCTAAGTATTACAGTTGTGAAGTTGCTTGCCTTTACCAGAAAAATATGCTCTTCAGTTTACAATGGGTGTTTTGGTCAAATGACTAACAAAGGGTTTGAGTTTCATAATATTTAAACTTGCGTGACTTGGAAAGTTGTGTTCAGAATTGTTCATGTAATTATGAAATAATCTTTATAATGTTGATATTATACAAGGTGATACAAAAAATGCAACCCTATATTTTAGAATGATACTGTCTTTAAGGAAGGAACTGTTTGAATTTGCATATGTTGAGACAGTGTTCATCGCAGGAAACACTGATGTTCCATGCACCTATGATTTTTATATTATTCCAGAGCTTCCTCTAATGCATTCTCCGAACGCAGGGTTCCAGACGTCATCCACTAAGTTCCTTCCTTCTTCTTTTGGAAGAAGGAGGTACGAGTTCTGGATGCCTGTGATCGGCAGATGCCTCTAATAAGGCAATGTTGATGATGAAACTCTTCATGTAGCTCTCAAAGGCTATATGAACATTTTTATTATATCACATATTGTTATAGTCTCCAACTTTTTTGTGGATGGTGTTTGGTTGGGTGGCAGTTAGCATTTGACATCTGTAGCAAGTGGCAGGTGGTGACATTTTGCATGTTAATGCCTTGTACATGGTTTCCATTATTGTGTCACCCTGTATATAATATCCTCATGCTTTGTTTGCTTCCAGTCAAAATCAAAAGACAGCACGAGTTCGGGATCTGGCAAGCGAGCCAAGGGAAAGTTCAAGCCACTATATTTCTGGTTAGCGGCAGATGTCAATAAGTGGATGAAAAAACATACTGGACCATATCACGAGCTTTACGGCAACTTATTTTTGGACAACGGTATAACAGGTAAATGACAAAAAACTTATATTTTTTTCAGAAAAATTGGTTTGGCCCAATTTTTATCTATCAATGACGATTTTATTTGGACAAGAAACATGAAAACAACTTTGTTTTGTCCAGTGAAACAGTTTAAAAACAATCCTATTCCTGTCAATTTGTTATAATTGTAATGAACACATATGAGATATAACAGTTATTCAGTTTCAAATTATTTTTATCCATTTTACAGGTCGGGTGCTAATCAGGTTAAACGATAATAAACTCCAGCGTATGGGAATAACAGATCCATCACATAGGTAAATATCTGATCCAGAAATAATTTAGATCGAAATGATATTTTAGATCTTTCAATTACTGCCAAAATTCATGAAGTTGCTCCAATTATTTCTTGTTCGGTGTCGTGGGCTCTTGGATTTAAAAACAGTAACAGTAACTCTATCAGTGGCCATTTTTGATTTCACAGATTTTTGAATCAAAATAAAATTTTTGTTTGAGAATTTTAGATAATGAGAATTCTATTTTACTGATAAATTATACAGATGACATTTATAATATAGCTGCCATAGAACCTGTATTGTTAGGGATAATGACTTTAATTCAATTTGTTCTTCCACAACTGTAAAGATTTTGACACCACCCCTTAATTCTTGATTCTTTTGCTTTAAGGGAGGAATTATTAAGACACGTGCTGAGGTTAAAGCTGAAGAGTGAAATGCAAGAATTGAAGGAGCTCAACAAGAAAAGTGAGAATTTTAATCAATTTATTAGTACATACATAATGGTATTGTACATTATTGTGCTTTTAAGACGTTCTTAGGAAAAATGAAAATGAAACTTGAGTGCAATTCTTATTCTTCCCACTAATGGTTCATTTTGCTCATTGTCAGTTGCTTCTGCACTTATCAAGTCCTTATGCTACCCATGAGGCCTTTAAGTTAATTGTTTTGACATTGAAGAATGAAGATCCCTTGCTCTGTTCTTAGAACACGATGACCTTTAGTACATTGTAATAACATAACAATTCTGCTTCATCTAACTTTGTTTACATGGACTTTGTGTACCATAAATCAAAATTCGTTAGAAGTCAGTGGTACAATCCATTTGTAGATTTGATTATAAACATACTCTAATCATAACACTTTCTTGCATATTTTTCAGTAACTGATCTTGAAACCTTCAGCAGTAGAAAATAAACAGTAGAGGATTAATAGGAACATAATCAGTATTTCTGAGACACTCAGCAATTGACTGTAATTACAGACTCCATTTTATAAAAAATTGTTCGTTTTGACTGCAGCATTAAGATGGCATTTAGCGGAGCTCTTCAGCTCACAGACCTCGATGATTTCATCACTCCATCTCAAGAGTGTATAAAACCTGTTAAAGTGACTAAGAAGTCTGGTAAAACAGCTGCCATTAAAATCGGGGATGATGGTGAATATAGCCAGATTGGTATAGATGGCGGGGAGGTGAAGCTTGAAAAAGCAACGATTACGCTCAATGACTGTTTAGCTTGTAGCGGATGTATCACTTCTGCCGAGAGCGTCCTTATCACGCAACAAAGCCAAGAAGAGTTGTACAAGATTTTGAACTCGAACAAAATCTTACTTGAACAGGGAAAATCAGACGAATGCAAATATGTCGTTATTTCGATATCTCCTCAGTCTAAAGCCTCACTTGCAGTGAAATATAAGCTAAATGCAAATGAAGCAATAGAGAAAATATCAGGTTTTTTCAAGCAGCTTGGTGCCAGTGCTGTGTATGATGTAGCCCAAGCTAGGGATTTAAGCCTGGTTGAAAGTGGACATGAGTTCATAAGGAGGTACCAAGATAAGGAAACTGACAAAACTGCCCTGCCCATGTTAGCATCAGCTTGCCCTGGTTGGGTGTGCTATGCAGAAAAGACACATGGCTCTTATATATTGCCTTATATAAGCTCTACAAAATCCCCGCAACAGATAATGGGATCGCTAACAAAGGACCACTTGGGAGGAGGGAGAAAACCAGACCAGGTGTATCATGTGACTGTCATGCCTTGTTATGACAAAAAGCTAGAAGCATCGCGTCAGGATTTCTATGACGACTTGTACAGTACAAGAGATGTGGATTGTGTGTTATCTACACTAGAGGTGGATGAAATGTTTAAAAGAGAAGGAATACAACTGGGTGATGTCATCCCGGCGCCTCTTGATTCCATATATGGTCGACAGGGTAGCGCCATGAACCACCCCAATAATGGTTCCGGAGGGTACCTTGAACATGTTATGAAACATGCAGCTAAAGAGATCTATGGGCACACTACTGGAGACCTTAAGTATAAAACAATGCGGAACAACGACTTCAAAGAAGTCACACTTGAAATTGATGGCAAAGTGGAGCTGAAGTTTGCCATTGCTTACGGCTTCCGTAACATACAAAACATAGTACAAAAGGTTAAACGAGGAAAATGTAACTACCATTTTGTTGAAGTTATGGCATGTCCCTCTGGGTGCCTGAATGGTGGGGCACAGTTGAGGCCAGAGGAGGGTGTTACCCAGAAGGAGCTTTTAGCTGAAGTGGAGGGTGTATATGATGAAAATGATGCCACATTGGAGTGTGGTAGCGATGAGTTGGATCAGCTCTATGCTACGTGGCTAGGGGGTAGAAATTCTGATAAAGCTCTCAAGATGCTGCATACGCAGTATCACGCCATCGAGAAAGAAACTAATGCCCTAGGGATAAAGTGGTAAATCCCTCCCTCATGGAGCTGTTCTGGCCTTCTGGGTGTTGCTGCTTAGAACATTGCTCTGATCAAATAATCTCTCAAGAGAATAAGATGATTTCCAATGATATATCTAATTGTCTTAGTGAAAATTGCTACTTAGGTCACTTACATAGAGGTACATATGGACCTAAGGAGATTGGCTCCAGTATTCTGATGCAATATTATTGATACGATATGACTAGCATGGACTGAATTAAGGAATAAATAATGGTAGGCCATTCAATATGGTGAAATTCAGCACGAGTTGGACAGAATGTTGTACAAAGCACGAACCGAAGGTGAGTGCATTTGTACTAACATTCTGTCCAACGAGTGCTGAATTTCACCATATTGAATGGCCTATCATTATTTATTCCGATTCAAACATAAAAATTAGTAAAAGCCGTGTCTGTGGAACGGGCATGAAGGAAGAATACGCATGCTGTCAAGATCCTGAAGTCGGCCGGAAAAATTTTAGAATTTGTTTGGGCTGTTCTATTTTACTCCCCGTTTTAGATTTTATACGGTGTATGCAAACATCTGGGGGTGTTGATAAAATATAGTTACAGTAGTTACGGAGGGAGTAAAAAAGAACAGCTATCCCCGGACAGAGCCCCAGATGTGCAGCTGAGATGTGACGTCACTCAAAACAATGCAAATTGCAGATTGAATAGAGCATGGTCGTGCATCTATGGAGAATTAGAGAACGTTCTATATTGGCTATGCTGCATTCTGATTGGTTGAGAAATTCGAATAGAGCACGGTCATGTTTGAATTGGTAATAATATTATGCTCCAGGATATTTGAGTAGTAAGTTTGAAACTTTTAGGGGACAACCAAAGAATGGTTGAGGTTCATGCATGTAGCTTGAGTATACAAGATAGCTAGTTGTAACTCTTGTGATCACTTCCTGGTTGTTTTGAAATATTTTATTTGGTTAATATATGGTAATAATACAGTAATACTGTAATCTAACCCTGTTGATTAACTGATCATGTTGAGGATTTTGTCACAACTGACCATCTGACCATTTATGTGTAGTTTGTAGAATGGTAGGTGCCATTTTTGCAGCTTGGGGCAGATTTTAAGATCTGTGAAAGGCCTTAGTGCACAAAAATATTGAGTCCCAAACTTGAAGCACTGTTGAGAAATTTTTGGTTAAGGAAAATAGGTTTTCTCAACATATTGATTACATGTAGTTTACTTTTATAATTAGGGTTGAGATTCTGATTCGGTCAGGTTTGATGACTATGATGATTTATTCAGATGATTTTTCATGCATTAATCAACAATAGCTAATGAAATGAAAAAAAAAAAATTCACAAGTTTATTCCAATTTCATTGCAAACATTACATGTATATTCTTTCATTTAAAAGTACAGGCAACATATAATTCAATGCAGATATGTTAAATTCATGGAAAAAATATTACATTGTATATTCAAGGCAATCCAAAGTAGAATGTTTATTTTATTGATCTTATATTCTATTTGATTTCTTTTTTCTCCAATTTTTACTCAACCCGAAATGATTTGATTCATCAGCTCGGGAATCAATTAGGGTCAACATGAAGCCTCAACCCTCAGGGTTTTGGGTTGTCGTCTCACCCCTATTTATAACACTAATTAAAAGGGAAAATTGTGACATTTGTGCAATGATAAACTATAACATATTTATGGCACACACATTAGTTTGTCAGAATTTTATGGTAAACAGTTTTAAGAATCATGTCTATTGTATTGCTGAGAAATCAACAAAGCAGATTCTGAAAATTGAAAATAGGCAAAAATGTCAGAAATCAGAAAATTTGATTGTGCCTTAGCCAAATTTACAATGAAACATAGAAGGAAATCATTATATTGGAATCGTCATTTAAATGTAAATAGAGCACTGGTCTCTAACAATTCAAATGTCTGTGCAATAGACTGTCAAGGATGATGGGGGAGTCTAATTGTTTCATTTTTTTATGAACCGACATTTGAACCCAGAATTCATTTCTCAGAGCACTACCTTCTAATTACAACTTGCTTTTTACAGTTTGACATTCAGTCAATCGGTAGAGTATATCAAAATCTGTATATCTTAGCACCTTTTGACTATCCTGTGATTAAAAACCTCAAAATGTGAACACATGCCGATTCAAACACCTTTGGTTAGTCAGGTGGCATTCCGATTAGACAGATTTTACTGTAATATGTATTTGAGGCTCTGTAATGTAGATTGAGTATCTCTGTGCAGAGTTTGTGAGTGATGATAATTGTAAAGTTATAGGAACAAGAAAAAAATAAATCAAAAACAAATATCAATACACAAATTGTATTTTTATTTACTATGTTACAAAACAATATCAACAGGTTTTACTAAGTAAATATACACAAAGATGCACTACATTTTTTGTAGTTTTTTATCACTGAAGCACCATAATTAAGTGAAGACGTCCTACTTTTACCCAGGGCTCAATATCTCATTGCACGACACTCATTTTTAAGCTTCATTTTTTCATTTCTGGAGCTTAAAATCAGACATTTAGCGAAAATCAAAAAACACCTCTTCAAATCAATTGTTCCAAAATATTTCATGGCCAGATATCAAATTATTTGTCTCGGATTAAACATAATAACTACATGTTTGGGATGAGAAGCCTCAAGTAAGAGATTTAGAGACCTGAAAAAAGGAAGATCCCAGATTTAAATTGTATAGCCTAAATCATTATCATGGATACAGAAAATCTAAAACAGTTTTTCAATCCTTTTGCCCTAATTTCCGTTTTCTTGTCCAGAAGTATTGTGCGCCTGTTTTACCAGTAATGTATTCACACCAGATATTAATATATTACTACATGTCCTCCAAGATCCTGTACATTACACATAACCCTGTACATGTACACTTATGATTCAGTACATCTAAAATTTCATGATTATGCACATTCATGACTCTGAAGTTTTACAATTACAGATCATATACATTATGATTTACACTTGTACATATACACTTACATGATTCTGCAGTTTTACACTTACAAAAACAGTTGTATATCTACGCTTACATGATTTTGTACATTCCAAGACACGCACACTAACAAAGGATTAAACAGTTGAAAAATGATTTCATTGAAACGGAAATTAATCAAAATGCGACTCCTTTCAAACCAATTGACATCGAGTTAGGCCAGGATATAGCATGGGTTTTGGGAAGTTCAAGGGCCACTTGATAGACATAATGTTTCTGAAAGATGACTTCATTTAGCATCAATTCATATATGTCTGGGTCTTTTTAGTTTGTGGACGAAGGATTCTGAGCAGTTTTACCCCCCTAGAATAATATTTCAGGGGGGTACTATATTATCATTCTATAAAATCAGTTATGCATTAACTATAGCACTGATTTATACATATTATGTTGCTAGCACTGTAGTCAAGTGTTTCCCAAAGTTATAGGGAGATATGTTGATCGGTTTTGACAAAAACACAATTTATAGTAATAAATAAGCATATTTTCATTCGTTTTTTAGTCTCGCCAACTTTATTGTTGCAGCTTCAGAGAAATAATTGGCACCAATACTGCTTTAAGAAGTAATCTAAAATTATTTCCAATCTATGTGGGGAATTGTAATATAAAGAATGTAATGATACAATACTATTTGGAATTTTAAATATGGCTTTGTTGACCCCTACCCCTTAGAAATATGAGAAAGTGAAGGTGGCACAATTAGATCAGAAATTCTATAATGAGTACTAATACTTCTCAAAGTTGCATTTTAAAAATGTATGTGTGATATATAGAGGTAATTTAATGGGAGGGATGGAATATGAATTTTATTCTGAGGGAAAATATGATATTGGCCAAGGAAAACATCATATTGACTAAGGGCAATAGCCCAAGTGTTAATATGATAGTTCTCGAGGCGAATAAAATAAATAAAATTCATATTCCACCAACACCATCAATAACCTATTTATTAAATTGTTTTTTTTCTGAAACATAAAAATCAAGAGAAATCCCCGGGAATGGTTCTGATATAGGATCTGATATGTGATTTAGGCTGATACAGGATCCAATACGGGATCTGATATAGGAATCTAGCAAAAATATGGGATCTTTTGAATATCAATTCTATTCCCTGTTTATTTCCCAGGGAAAACATGCTATTATGGAATAATGTTATAATTTTGTAATGATCAACTGTTTTTTTAAAAAATTTTTTGGATGCCTTTGTTAGTCTAAAGGGTCATTTCTTCATGTTAAATTCTTGTTTTTATATTTTTCTTTTTCTAAAATTTTATCAAGAATTTCTCTTTATAAGTCAAGGTCTTACGATTCTTAGTCAGATGCATCAGTCTGCATTTGTATGCTCATTATTTCATTTAATATATCCTTAAAAGTACAATAATTTACATCCCAATGATGCCTTGAAGCATGAGCTCTGTCTAGTCCAGCATAGCTTACCCAGGCAGGCACATGAGCATTTTATCAGCTAAGGGATTCCTTCCAGGGGGAACAGGTAATTGAGTCTATGCTGTCAATCTTATAACTAACAAATATAGTTTAATAGGGAGTAGCCATATCAGCATCTTCTATACCCCCCCCCCCCCCTATAATCATTCAATAGGGACAATTGACGTTACATACTTATAGCGAGATCAATAGTGCAAGAAAACAGGCAAATAGTTCATTCATGGAACGAAGCGTGAAACTTTCCACATATCATCAGAATACCATTCCCTTTGATTTAAGAGCCAGAGCCATTTTTGTGGTCCACTAGAATGATCAAAAAATAGTAAGTACCCCCTCCCCCCAAATCCCGTGGGGGTGGGGAGAGTTAGGAATTTTTTTCAATAAAAAAATTTCTTTGAATATGGTCATACTGCAGTTTCAGTGTGCCATTTTCATGACAAAGAAGTTTTGCAACATAACAAGATGATTTATCATCGATTTTCATCATTGTTAAAGACTAGTCATGGGCGACGCCCACTTTTCATATATTGAACATTTAGGTTATTGAATCTTTATCATGAGTTGAACAAATGAATGTACTTCAGCTTTCTGGATAACACCAGATACCTTTTTGATGTTAGGTGCTATAATTAATCTTAGAATTTGACTTCTTAAAGGCTTATAAC